AGAAGGAAAGACCTTCTAGAAAGTTCTCTAAGCACAGATCTCCTAGGAGGAGGTTGCATGTTGTTAGGCATGGCATAAGGAAGTGAACTCCCCAGCAGCACTCATCACCACACTTCTAATCCTTCCAGGACCCAAGGCCAAGCGAAGCCATCCAGGGTCAGCAGATGCCTGTAAGAAATAACAGCTGTTTCCTGTACCACAGCAGGTGTTAAATCAAGTAGTGTTTTCGATATTCTCCTTAGAAGTGGAAAGACCGAAGTAAGGGTGAAGGCAGAGAAAACCCATGGGGTTTGACTATATCTAACTGACTTGGAGACAAACGACTCTCTTTCATCCAGGCACTGCTCCCTTGGGCTTATGTATTTAGGTACATGCTCATCGTCTCTCTCCCCTACAATGATGTAAGCTCCTTAAAGTCAGCAACGTTGGCCATTAGTGTTAAATCTGTGTGAAAACAAAAAAAATCACAAACTTCAGAAACTTGATTCAACCTTGGTTAAGATTATAGCCGAAGTCAGAGGGTATACATTTCAAAAATGATTAAGGAACTTTAAGAAAATGAAAATACTATTATCATCAATGCTTTGAAAATACCAAGCCCAGAGCTAATCTTGAAGACACAGTATAAACATTAGCTAAGTTGGAGTGAAGGCCCTTTAAAACCAAATCATAAAGTTGAGTTCTTAGATTGCCATAAGCATTCCTGTGAAATTCTATTGTAGCTGCAATGATTTACTGTTACATAATCCTCAACCTAGAGACCACTATGACATTTGTTTTACCCTTTGCTGTAAAAATTGAATTTACTCATTGTACATTTGTTATGGAAAATTTGGTTTACCATAACTCTTGTATTGTTTATTCCATTATCCATGAGTTCCTTGATCTTATTACAATTAACCAAGCCAGCACCATAAAAAGTGGCATAGGGTCAGTTGGGATTAGAAAGGGCAATGTAAATTTCTCCTTTTCACATAAGTCATGTAAGTTTTTGTGTGTTTTGTTCTGTTTTTAATGACAATAATAGCAGAATTACTTTTGAAATACAGTGGAAAACATTTTCTTCCAGCTGGGTCCTAGTATCTAGAAGAGCATGAGGTACTTGGTAGGTGTTTGGTAAATGTTTGTTGACTGACTTATTCCTTGACTCCTCATTAACACTATGAGGAAAAGTATCTGTTAGAATAAGTGTCAAGTGGAGATCAAAATGTTATGGTGGACTTTTCCTTGAGTTCTCTGAAATATTTTTAATTAATTTGCTTCCAATATTTAATTTATATGACTGTACATTCTTTAAACATACAATATAGTATTATAAAGGAGGCTGAATTCAGTCAGAGATGGAATGAAGCCATTAACCATATCCTTTAAAACTGTTGATCCAGCGTACATAGGGTTAATCATCTCATACAAATGAAGCAGTAAATTAGGAGGCCACAAGAAGGTAACAAAGGGCAGGGATTTATTGCAGAGCCATGAAATTCTAGTGATGTGGTACGAATGACCTGATTCCTATTTAGGCCCAGGATGTATGAGCTAAAGGACAGAGAACATTCTTCCAAAGAACTGAATAAAGAGCTGGGAAATTTAAAAAGTTTAATCCAAAGCAGCAAAGAGAATGGATAGGTAGGAAACATTTAAAAGTCATGAATTCAGGGATCAGAGAACAATAGTGTTACTAGAAATGTTAAATGTAGGGCTGAAAACATTGAGGACCATGGAGAATATAAAACCAAGGTCATAAATCACTAGAAATTCAAGATTCTGAGTATAGAAAGCAGAGGATGTATGGTCCAGTAAACCTGAGCTGCCCCTATCAGCCTGAACAAACTGCAGTGATCGCACATTTCTGAACTGAGTCCTGTAGTAAAGAAAAAACATTTTAGGTAACTGGGATTTCTCTAACTTCCTGCATTGCTTGTCATCCTAGAAGGCAGTAGCCACTTACTGTGTGATCTCAACATCTCTATCTCTTAGTTTCTTCATCTGTTAAACAGAGATAATGACAGCCCAAGGTAGTTGCTGTCATATGAAGGATTATGAAAGATTCGATACAGACCTCATATTATGGAAGACTCAGTAAGGCTCATCCAGACAAAGAATAGCAAACATTTCCATTGTCAAGCTGGCAGTTTACAATGTACTCAACGAGCCAAACTTGAAGTTACATGATTCTTGACAAAATTTGGTTGGAGGGTGGTAATGTAGATATTTGCTTTACTTAAAATTTTTTACATAAACTGAGACTTTATTAATATTTTTATTATTCAACACCAAATTTCTATTAAATTTTAGTTAAATAAGTATTATTTAAATTAATTAAATGAGATGGGCACAAAGGACCTAGAGCAGATTTTGGTAAATATTTTTATCTGTCAGTTATTTCTGTTAACAAAACACTGAAAACTCAGTGCCTTAAAACAATAATAATTAGTTAAGTCTCACTCATCTGCCAGTCAGCTGCGGAGTTCACTAATCTAGGCTAGGTTTGGCTGGGCAATTCTACTAGTCTTAGCTAGGCTCACTCACACATCTGTAGCTGGCTAGAGACTGAATAATCTAGGCTTAATTTAGCTCGACTCCCCCTATCTTTTCATCTTCCTGAGATTAGCAAACCAGTCTTGGCACGTCCCTTTCATGGAAGTAGCAGAAGTCCAAGAAAGCAAGTGGAAACACATGAAAACTGTTGAGGTCCAGGATCAGAACCAGAGCACCATCACTACTGCTTCGTTCCATTGGCCAAATCAAATCATATGCCAAAGTCCAGATTCAAGGATGGGGAAACAGAATCTGCTATCTGACATATTCTATGTGTCTTTTTTTCTTAATTATCTCCAACAACTAGAACCATGGTCCCCAAACTTTTTGGCTCCAGGGACCAGTGCTCCTATGAGAATCTAATGCTGATGATCTGAGGTGGAACTGAGGTGGTGATGCCAGTGCTGGGAAGCAGCTGCAAATACAGATGAAGCTTCACTAGCTCGCCTGCCACTCACCTTCTGCTATGCAGCCTGGTTCCTAACAGGCCACAGACCAGTACCAGTCCACAGCCCAGGAGTTGGGGACCCCTGAATAGAATATTGGTGCTCTAAGAATAGGGATCCTGTCTGTCTTATTCCTACTGCATTGATGAGGAAATTAAGGTATGAAGAGATTGCAAAGATATGAAATGGTAGAGCCAGAACGAAAACAGTCTGGCTCTAAAGTTCATATTATTAATCATTACACTATATTACCTATCCTAATAAAATAAGTGCAAGTAATTGGATGCAGTAGAAGATGCTGGGCCCTAAATTAGACCCTAATATTGTAATGCTTTTTTAATGAAGCCAGAGTGTCTACTGGAAGCATCAAATCGCTGTTTATTATTAAACGAGATGGTAACAGAGAAAAGAAGCATTAAGAAAACTGCACTTATTAGAAAGGCTAGAAGAGTCCATGAGACAACCTAGAAAGGTCATCTTTCCATCTCTCTGCCTCCAAGCAGGGCTGCACCTCAGCCTCATTAGGAATACTACAATCAGTTGTCATTTTTAGTCTTCAGAGACTATTTCCACAACCACCTCTGGATATGTATGTTAGTGTCTCATAATTTTGTCAGCAAGTTTTCTTAATGTGAGACCTTAATTGTTCAATTTAATTGCACTGTGACTTGAATCAGCTCTTCTTTGTTAAGCTTATATCAAGGGTTGCAAACTGGCAGACTGTGGGCTGAAACCAGCCTACAGAATATTTTGTTTTGCCTGCACTGACAAAGGTGTTTCCATAGTTGTCAATACTTAAAAATAAGGATAGTTACATTAAAATTTGAGCTCTTGTTGAAATAAGTTCCCTGAAATAATTTGCTCATATTCAGAATTTTTAATCTTTGAAAGTTTGATGGAAGTCATCTATAAAACCTTCTGAATTTGATGTTTTCTTTGGGGATGATGTTAACTGATTCAAGTTATTTAAAGATCATAAGACTATTCATTTTTTTTCTATTTATTCTTGGGTCAATTTATGTGTTATATATTTCTATGAATTTAGTCATTTAAACTAAGTCTTCAAATGTATTGAGAAAAGTTGTTCACAATATCCTTTTATTATCATTATGTCTACTGCATCTGTACTTCTGTTTCTCTTTTCTTTCTTGTTGTTTATTTATCTCTTTTCTTTTTTTGTATAAAGTAATTTTGCCTGAAGTCTATTTTACTGCTACGAACCAATTTTGTTTCTCTTCTTGATTGAATATTTATTTATGTTAATAATTCTGCTCTTATTATTTCTAAAGTGTTATTTTTCTTTGGGTTTGATATACTAGGTTTATTATTAAATTTTTGAAGTTAGAATCTGAGATCATTACAGTTGATCCTTTCTTTTCTGAAATAAAAAGTTAAGATATAAATTTCTGAGTATCATTTTAACTGCACCTCACAAGTTTTTATATTTAGTGTTATATTGCTCAATTCTAAATTTACATCATTTTCCTTTGACCTATGATTTGTGGTGGATTTGGTAAACTGGCATTTATCATCAATGTAAAGCTTCTTTGTAGTTGCCTTCCAATCCTTCAGAGCCTGGAAACATAAAAGCATCATATATCAGACTCCCTTGCAGCTACAATTCTAGATGTGACTTAAGTTCTTCCATTGGATGCACCAACATATGATTTGAAAGGTACAACAAAAGAAAGCCATTGGAGTTGTCTTTAAAAATAACAACATAGCAGCCTCCTGAGCTTCTCTCTTCCCACACCTCCCACAGATGCACTGGATGAATAGCTACACATGGAGCAATTCCCTCTGAAAGAAATCCATAAAATACCCGAGTGACACTTATTCACTGGGTAAACAAAAAAATATACAAATAAAAATGGGTAAGAAAGGCTGACACACACTCTCACCATAAACCCCACTACAGCATACACCTGGAGGAAACCCCTAAATCCCCGCTTCTCCCTGAGGAGTGAAAAATTGGACCCCACATTTAGAGGTTCAACTTTTAAGACTCCCACCCAAGTGCTCACTCCAGTAGCACATATATTAAAACTGGAACAATACAGAGGAGATTAAATGGCCCCTATGTAAGGGTTACATGCAAATTTGTGAAGTATTCTATATTTTTGCACAGAAAATACAGTCAATAATATTGTAATAACTTTACACAGTGACAGGTAATTACTAGACTGTGCAGAGAAAGGAAGATGGCCATAGTCAGGCTCCCTCCCAACACACTTAGCTAACTTCTGAGCAGAAGTGACTCGGCACTTCTCCCCTTACGTAACCATGTACCTGGTATGCATACACGGGCTTCTATTATCTGGTAGTGTGCCACTGTTGTTTAACCTGTATACAAAAGTTGCTGCCGCCCTTTGTGGTTGGCTGTGCACTTGTTGGAATAAAGAGTTATGTCACAGTTGCCTATGGCTCCCTGCATTTTCTTCCAACTGCCCAAGCCTTGTACCCCTCACCTCAGAACCGTGAATTTGCAGCAACACACTTGAAGTAGCTGGCAGGATTCCCAGGTAAGGGAGCTGTCTTCCCCACCAGAGGATGGGAGGAACATGTGGCCCCACAGAGCACATGGTATTCTGTGGTGGTAGTATTGATGACTTGGACCCCACCTGAGCTGTGGGAGGCAATTGATGGGTCCCCGATATATATTGAGAAGGCACTACACTCCCTGGGAGAGCAGCATGGAAAAAGCATGGGCCGTGGCCAAGTGGGCTGGGTGCTTTTAACAGCTTTGAAGCAGAATATGAACAAAGCTCTAGCGGAGGCCATGCAGGTACAGAAGCTTCAGCAAAAGGCAGATGACTTGGACATGAGAGTGCAACAATTGGTGCAACAAAGGGTACAAGAGGTCTACCCTCAGAGTTACCTTCAGAGGTAGGGGAAGATATCCTGGAGGAAGTCCACCCGCAAGTACAGCCCAGCATACACCAAAAGGTAAAGCATAAACAATCCCTTGGTCCTGGTTGGGTACCAGCTGGAGGCCCCATGGTGACAGAATTCACCACATATGCTCCATATACACCCACGTAATTGCAGGATTTGGGAAAACAATGTGACCTGGTGAACCATCGCCAGCCTGGATGCTGCGCCTTTGGGACAAGGGGGGCTGACAGTATCTCATGCTCCCCTGACGAGATGAAGAAATTGGCATCCATAACTGTACAGCCCTCATTATGGCAGCGTCTGCAGAACAGTCACCCCTTGGCTCAAGGACAAGAGAACCATACTCTGATGGAATGGCTTACTTTCACTGTATGGACAGTTTGAAATGAAGCCGGAGAACTCCTAGAGCATGTGAGTAAATGGCAAATGTAGGCTGAATTAGTGTAGATCATTCATGAACTGGACATGTGACAAGCTACGTTCAATTTGAATATGCAGGGACTGGATGATGAACAGTTTATGAATGGCATGCAGGATCTAGTGTTAGGGACTGCCCCCTCTACCACTTTTGGATTGTTAGTTGCTATCTTGGCTCCCTATGAGGGGAAACGTGTACATGAAGTGACTACAGCAATGGCTGCACTGAGAGACGTAAAGGGGAGACACCATGAGGGCAGAGACATAAGTGTCCAAATGGTAATGCCCAGACCCCCAAGGGCCAAGAAGAAAAAGAAAGGTCCTATGCAGGGTCCTGTTTAGGTCACCAGAACACAAATGTGAACTGATTTTCTAGCTGTGGGACTTGATCAAGACAAGATAGACCGCAAGTCTAGTGCAGTGTTATTAGAATTGTGGCGGCAATTGAAATCGAAACAACAGTTTAGGTGTGGAAAAAAAAGGGCTAGGCTGGTGGCCCTGAAGGACTTTTTGAAACCCCAGAACTCTCTGTTGACCCTGTATGATTAGGGAGAAGGCCAAGGTGCCCATTTGGAGGGGACAGACAGTGACTGGAGACCGCATGTAGAATTGGCAATCCACTGGTCCCCACAGAATGTGCAGAGTCCTAGCACTGGTGGATACCAGGGCCAACTGGAGTCTTATCTATGAAAATCCAGAAAGATTCCTTAGACCGGCCACTTATATAAACGGCTATGGGGGTAAGACTATTAAGACCAAAGCTGCGACTTTGCCTCTTGAAATAAGACATTTGCCCCCATGTCTGTATAAAGTACATGTTTCTCCAGTGCTGGAATAGATCCTAGAGGTGGATGTGCTGCAAGGACTCAATCTACAGACCTCTGATGGTGAATTCCGTCTGCGAGTCCAGATGGTGAAGAATGTGGAGTGGGGACATACTCATCACTTGCCACAGAAAGTGCCAGAACTGAGGCTCATTGTCAACGTTAAGCAATATCACTTGTTTGGTGGACATGATGAAATCAGGGCTACAATTCAAGAATTGGAGAAAGCTCAGAATGTGCACCTAACTCATAATCCTTATAATGCCCCTCTGTGGCCAGTGAAGAAGCCTAATGGCTCGTGGAGAATGACTTTAGACTATCAGGAATTGAATAAAGTGACTCCCCCACTGTGTGCAGCGGTATCATCCATCCATGAGCTAATGGATCAACTGACTATAAGGCTGGGAATGTATCACTATGTCTTGGATTTGGCTAACGATTTTTTCTCCATAGATTTAGCTCCCAAAGGTCAAGACTAATTTTCCTTCATGTGGGAGGAACATGGACTTTTGTGGTACTTTTGTGGTACTACCCCAAGGCTACTTACATAGCCCAACAATTTGCCATGGATTTGGCAACCTGGACCTGACCAGAAGTGGTAGAATTGTTTCATTATATTGATGATATCATGTTAACCTCTTCTTCCCTTACAGATCGAGAACAAGCAGCACCGGTGCTGTTGTAGCACCTGAAAACATGGCTGGACAGTAAACTCAACCAAGGTTCAGTAACCTGGCTTATCTGTCAAATTCTTGGGTGTTGTCTGGTTGGGTAAGACGAAAGTTATCTATGATGCTATAGTTGATAAGATATAAGCATATCCATGACCCACTACAGTTAAAGAATTGCAGAATTATGTGGGTCTTTTAGGATACTGGGTAGTGTTTGTGGCCCACCTAGCACAGCTAGCATGGCCGTTTTATGACCTGCTTAAGAAGGGAGCTACTTGGGACTGGAATGAAATGGTAGAGAAGGAGTTTACCACCACCAAACAAGTGGTGCAGCAAGCCCAAGCCTTACAGGTAACAGATCCAGGTAAACTTTTTGAGTTGGACATACATATAACAGCAGAAGGATATGGCTGGGGCTATGACAACATTCAGAACAAACTAGGACCCCTGTGGGTTTTTGGTCCCAACTATGGAAAGGCTCAGAGAGCCAGTATTCCCTAACAGAGAAGCAATTAGCAGCTGTGTATGCAGCCTTGCAAGCCAATGAGGCAGTGACTGTCATGGCCAAAGTGCAGATGTGCACCACTTACCCTATCTTACAAGGTTGGTTATGCACAGGGATACAGGCCTCCAAAACACGAGTGGCCCAAACCCCTACCTTCATGAAATGGGGTGCCTATCCGGAATAATGGAGTACCATACCTGCTAGTCCTCTGGCCATGGAATTACAGACGGTTTTAGGCTCAGTTGAATTTACCACTGACAATATACTGGACGCTGCAGTTCCTACAGATTTAGAAGTGTCCCCCTACAAAGAAGGGAAGCCATCCATACCCCCTGATGCATGGTACACAAATGGGTCCAGTAGGGGGCAGGGAGCCAAGTGGGTAGCTATTCGGGTACAACCAGCTACTGACCATATTTGCTATGATACCGGTAACGAGCCGAAGCAACCAATGGGCTGAACTGTGGGCTGTATAGTTGGTTATAGCTCATGAAGATGGCCCAGTGACTATTTGTACTGACAGTTAGGTGATGTTTAAAGGCTTGACATTATGGTTGCCTACGTGGAAATGACAAAACTGGCTAATGGGCCATAGGCCTTTATGGGGACAAGCCATGTGGCAAGATCTGTGGGAGAGAGGACAAGAAAAGGACATAACTGTCTATCATATTACAGTCGTGTCCCCTTGATAACTCCAGGAAATGTTGAGGCGGTGCATTCTCGCGTGTGCGGTGGCTAGAAAAGGCTCCTGCCACTGACGTGGCACACTGGCTCCACAGACAATTGCAGCACTTGGGTTCTAAAACTATGTGGACAGTGAAGCAACAGTGGAACCTTCCCCTGAAATGGGAAGATATCACAGATGCCTGTGCCATGTGCCCCATGTGCAGCAGAATATGCCACATCCTCGCTGCATGAAATGGGAGCATGAGCAAATAACAAGGAGAAGGATCACCCTGTGGAACATGTCGTGGGGCCTGAACAAGCGACCTCGAGCTGGAGATCCTTTGTGGCCCCAATCCAATTAATTACAGGTAACTACAACTAAAACTCTGTTGAAACTTGGTCATGGACTCAATGGTAATATACTCCTACCTACCCCTACTTGTCTGAAAAGATGAGAAACAGTGCAATGGACTTGGCCATGGAAAATAAAAGCCCCGCATTGCCAGTGGGTAGGCCTAATAGCCCCATGGAGCAAGGGACTAGAGGTAAACTTACAGGTCATTCCTTCGGTAATGGCTGACTAGCCACACAAGAAACTGCGAGATATCCCATAGGAGAGATGGATGAAAAAGAAAATACCATCTTATGGGAAACCTTTGTGTTGTCACTGTGGCCTTTCATGAGCTCTCCCATATTGTGTCATGTTGACACAGTGGGATCAATGCCCCAAGAGGAACGGGTAAGGTACTGCCAGCCAGGCCAGCCCCCCTCGGCAGCAACAAGCTTATCACAAAATAAGATGGTAGCATGCATCTTGCCTGATGGAAAAGACTTACCTTTGTACCATTGTGCTCCCTTTCTTTCCAACCTTAAGCTGTTTTATGTGAATATCGTGGTTGATTGGGCACATACCTATGCTACAATTGTGAATGTCTCACACTGTTGGGTCTGCACAGTTTCCTGTCAGCGCTACTGCAGGATTGTCCTGGTGTATACATATAGCTGATGTCACAGCATGGGGGTGGCTGGCCCACTGGGGACCCCAGGCACCCGACTGGACCATCATCGTACTCGAGTTGATAGACCCTTACTGGGGTACTCGGAATATGATGGATGGTCATGGTTCACTAGTGAAGGGGTGGAG